GATCGATAACTGTCGCCAAGCTTTACCTCTGCGTCTTGCTTATCTTATTCGCTTGATGTGTAGGATGTAGGGAATTTGATTCTCCAAAGTATAACAAGGTGATAATGCACAGGCTTTAGCAGGGGTGTGATGTACTATAGAGGTTGTTTTTCCCCCCAGCTGTTTCATCACCTGTGCCAGAAGCAGCAGCAGTGCTATTGAAGTCATTAGAGGGAACATAAGAGCAATAACAACCAGTAATGTTAACATCAGTATCTGGAGATATGAGGGCAGGCAGCAGCACAACAGAGTAATCATGAGTTTTTAGCTGTGCAGCCATGTGGTACGGACCTACACGTGGGGAAGAGAAGCTGCTCTGACTCTAGCACTGTCAGTCCTAGTATTCGGTCTCTGTCAGTCTCCCACTCATACAAACAGTCAGTCACACAGTACAGCACAAACACAAGCATACATAGATAAAATGTGCAATGTGTACACACATATATAAACAGTATATAATAAATTATAAATAAATAAACCTTGTTGTACTATTAGGTATTGCCTGTCAAATGTATGTTGCTAGACAGTTTGGTCTCAGAAACGTTTGTGAAATGAGTGTGCTTTGTAAACATACAAATGACGTATGTGAACAGAAGGTAAAATAAATGAATTTTCCCTCCATGATTCAGTGGAGGACATTGGACAAAGAAGGCTTTTTATGACTGAATGAAACCTGGATGTAAATATTAAGCAAAGATTGTTGCAAGTACAATGGTAGCATCAAATACCTAAAAAATACTTCATGTTTACATTTAACTGACAAGAAACCTCTTACGTAGGAGGTAGGGGCAGCCGTGGCTCAGAGGTAGAACGGGTCATCCACTAATTTGAAGGTTGTTGGTTCGATCCCCGGTCCCTCTCGCCACATGTCGAAATATCCTTGAGCAAGTAGCAATGCCTACTTGAATCCCCGAATTTGCTACTTGGATTTGGTAATTGGTAATGGTAATATGGAACCTGTGACTTTGTATATTGCGCTTCTTTCTAGTCTTCCGACCACTCAAAGCGCTTTTACACTACGTGCCACATTCACCCTTTCACACACATTCACACAGCGATGGCAAAGCCCATCGAACAGAAACTAACGCATTCATACACATTCACACACTGATGCACGGCATCGGGAGCAATTCGGGGTTCTGTATCTTGCTCAAGGATACTTTGAAATGTGGCACCAGGAGCCAGGGATTGAACCAATAACCTTCCGATTAGGGGAGGTGCCTCTGCGCCACAGCCGCCACAGTAAGATCAATGAACCATGTAACGCACTCAAGCTCTTACCGAAGTCAGTCGGAAAAGCGGAAACATCTTTTCCATCAAGAAAAACCTTCAGTGCCGTTCTTTGCCCTTCTTTTAATGAAGAAATACTCTCCAGTTCTGATATAACTGCTGCTATGCTAACCTCTTTAGCGGCCGCCATTGTTCTTTCCGGTTCCGTCAAACCTAAACCACCACAAAGTTCATAGAACACTGATTTTTCAGAGCCACTGTGGTGGGACACAAGCACATTAACTTGAAGCCTGACAAAATGGATTCTCACCATCTCGGTAATTCAGTTGCCTTGCAGGGTAACATTTATAGGAGACCAGGAACAGGAAATGTGTTCTCTGGTATCAGAATCACATGCTTTGTACACCTAACCATCACCCAAACCTCCCCAAGATATACACACAGATATTAGACCTATCCTCCAGCACTAGCTGCAAGACTTTAATTTTTAGCCTACTATTGGTAATGCTGTATGTAACTGTGCATCAATGGACAGATGCTAGTAGCAAATTTGCCTGGGGCAGAGCAACGTAATGACGCATTTGTGCAAGTTGGAAATGTTATAACTCAAAAAAGTGTGCATATCCCAGAGCTTTATGACTCAACTTCATAAATGTACAAAGACTGGAGGGAAAAAACACAAAAAAGAGAGCGCTGCGATTTGAAAGTAAAGTAAAGTTGTTTTTACTTTCCTTCCCCTTCTTGTATTCCTCCCGCTCTCTTCCCATGATTTCCCTCTCATTATGTGTCCTGTTGTGTATCTGAATTGCTGCTGTTTGGGATAATGCCAACATGCTTTATCAAGCCATCTTGTCTCAATTGCAGAATTTGGATGGGGCCTGCATCCAATCAGTTAACCTGGTTATTGACGAGGATCCAAGAACGGAGATTACACTGAGTCACATTGGAGAGGTCTTCATGGCCGGACAGTACCGCATCTCCCTGCCCTATTCTGATGGTAACTCCCTCATCTTTTACCATCTTCCAACATTGTTCACATCCAGCGCCAGACTTCTTTCAGCACTTTACGGGTCATGGCAGAGACGGATTGAATGACAGCTGTGCTATTGAACAGATATTTTCCCAATACTTTACTGGGTTAGCACTTGCATTGTGTTGCACAAATGCATTCCCTCTGAGTATTACTGCCTTTTCACGCCAGTGTTTTCAAGACTGCGGCATTCTGTTGATCAAGTCAGCAGCCTTTTGTATGTTCAGCGATGAACTGTGTGAGAATGATCTGATATTTTGATACCTTAAGGAATAAAAACAACACTAACACTTAGCACTTAATGTTCTGTTACAAATAGGTTTGGACAAAGTACTTTGCATTCCTGGCTCCATTTAATAGTATTTCCTGTCAGTCAATTAATCAATCAGTCAGTCTTTGTTTCTATAGAACCTTTCATGTACAATTGAAAGTGCTTGCAGACAGACACAAAGAGACAACAAATCAATAAGAATCTCAAACTACAAACCCAAACACATCCAAAACTAGTACTGAAAGGTCAGTTAACTGATTATCAAAAGTAATTTTTTAGCAGAAAATTGTCAGTTAGACAGTTGTTTAGCATTTATCAAGTAAAATTTACTGTTTCCAGCATTTCAAATATGAGGATTTCTTTGTTTTATATCATTGTTTTGGGCTGACAAAGAAGCTATCAACAAATCTGTAAAGGATTTTCACGATTTTCTGATATTTTATCAACTAAATAATGAATAGATTAATTGGCTAAATAATTGATAAAGATAATCATTGTCTATAAAGGTCTTGACTAACTGGTCAAACAGACAGTGATGAACCTCTGAGATTTCCATCAGCTTCACTAGAGTTGAATTGAAAGCAGAAAATGTTTAACTGATCTAAAGCTGTAAATGTTTTTTTTAGGTTTCTATATAATGGTTGGTACCAGAAAACTGCACAGACATTCTACACTAATACAGCGAGAAAACATCATCCATCAGTTAAAGAACAACAGGTTGACAAGCTGTGTTCCCTGTAGTGATGTCACACTGTACTGGCACACCCAAGAGTACACTTCTACATCCCTAAAAGGTCGTCAAAAGCAATATTTTTAGGATTAAAGAATAAATTCACCACTAGAAAGATGATGTTTTCCTAAAACTGGGCTGTCTATGCAACAAAAAGACGCAAATATTTTTTAAATTGGTCCTACGTGACCAAAGAAAACGGGATGTGGTTTTACAGCAACCAGAAGCTCTGGCCACGGGTGACACACTGCGATTTGGCTGGTGCTTGGTTTCGGCTTGTCCATTTTCAAGCAGAAAAAATTGGCGGCCTGGTCACATAATTTCTCATTTTACATCTTAACAGAACTCTAAAATATGTTTCTGAAAACATCTGAGGCAATTAATAGTCAATGCAGTAAGTAATGTTGATTAATATTTTATCAGCACAGCCTAGTTTGACGGTGTGATTGGAGTATTTGGATTTGGATTGGATTGCATATTTGCACATTTGCATATACTACCCACATTGTAATGATACAAAGCTGATTGAAAGTTAAAGGCACCCATGTGGAGTTTTCAACCACTATTAGTGCTGTGGAGTAATGTTTAACTGAACAGGTTCCTGTTTTGTTTGTATCTTATGCACAGAAATGAGTACACAGTGACATTATACATAGTCCTGCTGACATCTCATTGATTAACAGGTAATGTGCCAAGAGACGTAGAAATGCAGCAGTGAAGAAACAATGTTTTATGGAGAAGTGAATTTATATCCATTTATATGAACTTAGCCCATCTATCAGCATCTGAAAGCCTAAATGTTCTCCTCCCGCGTCTTCCGCAGACACCTTCCACATCCAGGAGCTGTCGTCCATGTTCCTCCAGGTGAAGACGGCGTTTGGCCTGCGTCTGCAGTACAGCTGGAAGGAGTTTCGCCTCTACCTGCAGGCCGACGAGCTTTGGAAGGACGACACGGTTGGCCTGTGCGGCACCTTCAACGGCAACATTCAAGATGACTTCCTGTAAGTGTGTGCTGGCTGACCTTTAACCCATCCCGCGCCCTCCGTTAACCCTCCCTCCAACGATAAAAAGAGAGAGCATACTCCTGTTTCAGAGGCAGAGAGGGAGGTGATGGTGAAGTGCTCTCTCTCTCACACACTCTCTCTCTGTAATGCACACTGGCTCGGCGGCTCGGCATCAAAAGCCTCGCTCTCTGATCAGCTCTTTTAGGCGGGCCAGATGAGCGCCCAACTGGACACGCCACTTCAACAAGGAATTTACTGTTAGCGGAATAGGGGCTCCACTGTACCGTAGCGTAATGGCCGACCATAATGGGCGGATGTTGTCTAACAGCTGTAAATGGATATACATCCCAGTCGGTGACTGAAGTGGTCGTATGCTACTAGATAGAAAACTGGAATTGACTTTGCCCAAAGCTCTTCTGAAAAGTCTTTAAAATTATGATTTGCTGAATCCTGTTTTATATTTTGTCTTCATCTTGATGCTAATCATTTAATTCTGTTGTGTTTGTTTGGGTTTTACTAGGCTTGAAGCAACAGTAGAACAGTTTATGGAGTTATTTACAGTTGTTTTAGACATAATGAAAATCTTTTTGAAACACAAATTGACATATTTAATGGCTAGAACAAACAAGATGTAAGTAAGTCAGAAACACAGCAGAAGATCCTTTCCTCAGCTATTCCGATTTTAAAACTGGCTGGTTCAGAGTCGGTGCCTCATCTCAAACCAGTTTTTTTGCGTTTGGACAACCAAAGAACTGACTCTTAGCCAGGAAAACTTGTTCCAGCAACATTTTGCTAGTAGTTCAGTAGAACAGTAGTTCTCAGACCTTTTTCATTAATGTACCCCCTTTGAAATATTTTACCCCCTGACCAGCACAAAAACATTTTTAGTAGAAAGAAAAAGCCTATATAAAGATGTACAAGAGAGTGACATCAGTGTCTGATTTATTAAACAACAATCTTGTAACTGAAAATCACTTAAATGCTTCATTTCAAATGTTTAGAATTACTAAATTCATGGCAAACCATTGTGTTAAAGACAGGAATATTGAATATGAAATGTGGTTTATCGAACTTACATTTACATTTGTTATTGAACTTACTACAGCTTAATAATTTTGGGTATTATGCATTTTTAAATGAATAAAATCTCACGTACCCCCTGCAGTACTCCAAAGGACCATTTGAGAAGTACTGAATAAGATGGTCAATAATTATGATTGGACTATACCACTGAGAAAAACACCCCAAAATAAAAACACTAGTACCTGTTATTGCACATGTCAGAAGACCTTTTTCTGTTACACTGAAATATCAAAAAGCTTCTGTGTGTTAAGCTTTCTGTGTTGTTGTAGCTCTTGCCGTCAGCATGCTAAATACATAGACTACATACATTTATTCCGTCAAAGTGGAAACGTTGTGGCACCTGCAGCAGAAATGGGAACACTAACTGGTATAGAACGACCCTGAGGCTTGATGCTCATCCTGAATCTGTGCTCTGGTTTTCCTGCAGATCTCCATCGGGTATGATAGAAAGCACTCCTCAGCTATTTGGAAACGCCTGGAGAGTGTCGTCAGCCTGTTCGGCCAGCCTGAGTACGCCTCAGCTCGATCCTTGTGACACGCACCAGCAGGCCGGTCAGTTTCTCTACTTCCTAGCTGTTTCTGTGTCAGTGGTGAAACAATAGACATACACAGTGTTATATGTTATGCTGATGTTAATTATCTCAGAAACTGACACTGTAAAACATTCTAAATATTTAAAATGATCAAATGAGGCTGTATAATAAATTTTAAATATTGTGATGATATTCTAGCTCTTATTGTATATACTTAATGTATAAATCAGTTTGGTCTCAATGTGTATCTTCACATTTTGTACCACTTTTTTGTCGACAGATCATCTTTTTATTATCCTAGATCATAAAGAAATTTAGAAATTACTTTAATATAGATTTACATCAAACATAGTCCATTAATTTATAAGTTAGCACTCTAAAGCTCATCAAATTCCTGGAGGACTTTTACTATGAAGCTGCTGTAGACACATGAATTTACATGGATATGTTTGAATCATATAAGTCAATGTGGTATATAAAGTGATATATATTATCAATTGAGATTTTAATATATACCAATTAATAACTTTAACTAAAGTGTTAACGTGTGTTTCATGACGTCCGACCTGCTCCCTCCCATGCTCAGTGGCCTATGCCTCAGAGATGTGCGATATACTGAACCAGGATCTGTTCTCCGCCTGCCACGAGTACCTCAGTCCGACATCCTTCCATCAGCAGTGTCGCTCAGACACCTGTAAGTGCGGGACGCCTTGTCTCTGCTCTGCACTGGCCCACTACGCACGCCACTGTCGCAGATTCTCCGTCATCATTGACTTTCGATCGCAGATAACCGACTGTGGTGAGTATTCGCTGTATTCACGTTCTACCATTCTAAGACATTTTGTGTACAGGTCAAAGAGTCTGGTTTGTACCAGGATTCACCTCTCGCTGTTACGGACAGATGAATTCATAAATGAATTATAATAATGCGTTTTCTTTCTTTTCTTTTCTTTATTGCTGATTTCAGATCCAAATGTCAAACTTTCCTCAATGTGTCGATGCTCACAGTTGAGTTTCTGAACATAAACATTTGGGATTTGGGAATGATGTGACATGAGTCAGTGTTGGTTGGGTCTGAAGAGTACAAGTTTGACAATGAAAAATCTAGTGGTGGAGCTTACTAGACCTCTCTAGCCCACTCATCTCTGCTTTAGATTAGACTGTTATTAACTTGTTTCCATCGTCTCAAAAATTGCAGGTTTAAATGTGATGACGTTGTGACATTAGAACAGTGCAGTACATCCCAGTACTGTATACTGAATAATCACTCAGCAGCGTCCTGTTCTGCAGAATTATGAAGTAATATGTAAATGTTAACCTGCTAACAATGTCTCTCTGCAGCGGTCACCTGTCCTGCCACCATGCAGTACGGCACCTGCGTGTCATCTTGCCAGCGCCGTTGCTCCGCCCTCTCTGTCCCGCAGCACTGTGGGGAGGAGTGTGAGGAGGGCTGCGTCTGCCCTCAGGGATCCTTCTACAACCATCGAACCCACACCTGTGTGCACAGGTAAGACTGAGGGGGCGGGGTCTCAGCCTCCATTTTTCTGTGCAACATAGCAACACAAGGAGAGAGATACGATAATTATCACACTCTTGTGTAGCATTAAAATGTATTTTAACTTTATTCAGACAATAAATTGCTACATTGGTGCCGTTATTTTAGCGTAAAGTTCAGGAGGGAATCAGTGTCCTTGTTGTGTATCAGAGCAGCTCCAGCTCTGGCTGCTGCGGTGTTGTGGAAAGTTGTGAAGCCCGTTAACCGGCTAACTGGCTGGAGTCACTCCACCAAACAAATCCTCTCAAAGTGATATTTGTATCTGCTCTGAAGTTTAGGTCAGCCTTTAAGTGGAAAGCCTTGTATCTCTCCTGCAGACGTTATAGAGCCAGAGGACCTCAGTAATTGTGCTCTCCCTTTCAGCCTGCTCTGCCCTAGAAGACGTGGAGCTTAATTCCTCTTAAATGTCCCAGGTTTTTACATCCTAGTGCAGCGCGGTGCCTTACTTACCATGTGATAGAGTTACATCAAGGAATTCACAGTGAAACCCCCCTTTCATTCCCACTCGGGCTGGGGACGACACAGATATCTGATAACCAGTGAGAAAGAATTTGTAGTACAGAGGCCGATGTGTGGCGCTGGCCTATATGTTACAAGGCTTTCAGCCTCCGCTTAACACATTTAGCACAGCGTAGATCCACTGCAGTTCTATGTTTTTATATAAGAATTTAACTTAAAAGAATTTAGTCTAAACAGATAAGGTTGTTTGAGGGAGATTTGGTTGTGGATTTGACATCTCGAGCACTGATTTTACCTCCTAAAGCCTGCTTATCATCCCCCTATCCCCTTACCTATAATACTCTGTTTAAGGTAACACAAAGCCCTCTTTAACATAATTCTTTACACAATAAAGAACAAACTAAACAGTGTCTGGTTTACATCACTCAAAACTTGATGTGTGATTTTGGATTTAGGAGATTCTAACTAAAATGTATTTTTGCATACAGAAACAAACAACTGTTCCATCTGTCACTTTCATATTGATGTTTTCTCTGTGAACCGAGTTGGTCTTGTTTTTTTTGTTTACTTGTGTGGTTTTTCAGGAGCGAGTGTCCCTGCAGTTTCCTCGGAGCAGATTACGAGCCTGGAGATGTGATCATGACGTCAGCAGGTGTTCAGTAAGATCCTCTCGTCCGTCATCCTAAACTTAGCCCTCAACACACTCCCGCGTCTTAAAGGACAGTTGCAGCTTTGGCTCTTTCTGTTGTTGGTGTTTGGATTTTATATTGCCCATACCTTAATGTTAATAATGATTATGATTAAAGAAACACTTTTCACTGACTTCTGGCAATTCAGCTATCAAACAGTTGGAGACAGCAGAGTAAACAGTTGTAGTTAGTTAAAGTAATCCATTACTGTGAATGAGAACACTAATCAGGACGGAGACAAAGCTGTCTTAAAGTTAGGTTTCCGGTTGTTGCTGTGGGTCAGATATCCTCATGTTCCTTCAGTTACACTGACAATGACTCCTGTCAGTCACAACCCAGACAAGCAGACAAAGTGCGTCTGACTTTTTTTTAACAGGGCTTGATTCAGAATATTTAGTGTGCACAAAAGTGAAAGAGATTTAATTTCACATTTATTAATCTCCCATGTAGTTTCTGTATTGACCTTTATCATGTATCATTATCATCATCATCGTCATCATCATCCTATATTCTGTGTTCTTGCAGACTCTGTCTGAACGGTAAATTGGTGTCCCAGACAACAGACGGTGGTAAGTCACTTTAATCAAAAAGGTTTTTCAGTTCATTCTTCTTATTTCTCATGCTGGGCAGATGCTTTGTTCAACGTGTCACATTAATGTTTTATTCTGTAGTGCTTATAATATCTATGCTTGTACGAATGCTCCATTGTAGTAACAACCATGCAAACAGAGGCTCATCAAAATTGCCAGTTAACTGTCATCCTCTCTCCATCATATTCATACATTCTCCTCCTCTTACAGACAGGTTGTGTCCAGCTGGTCAGTTCTACCAGAACTGCTCAGAGGGGGACGATGGCCTCCTGTCAGGAAGGGGTGTGGCCTGTGAGCGCACCTGTGAATCCTACCTGCTCAACCTCACCTGCTCGACACATGAGCCCTGCGTGGCCGGATGTACCTGTCCTCCTGGGTGAGTTATTTTGTCTATCACTGAATAGTAATAGAAAGGTTCTGCTGGCTTACTGGTATGCTTGATCTGCGGCGAGAAATTAACATTATAAAGCTCATATAAAGAAAATATGTTTTAAATATGGAACAAAAGATTACTTTTGATAGTTTGATTGCTGCACCCCGATGTAGACCCAAGGCTGACTAAAGGTTGTCGTTGGGTTATGGTTCATAGTGTAGCTGGACAAATATTTACGCTCCATCCGCAAAAGTTTATTCCCTCCAGTTAGGAAGCGATACAGCAGATACAAAAACAAATGGAGAATCTTTTTGTCACATCTCAGATCACTTTATCAATATACTGCAAATTTGTGGCACATTTTCTCAACATAATGCAGCCATGATGCTGATTGTCCCTGAGGTTGACTGGCTGATACGTTTAGTTTTAGTTAGCGACTGGAAGGCTGATGGTTTGATTCCTCATAGAGGTTGGAAGAGTTGAAACTCAAAGTGTCCCACTGTTAACGTGTTACTGAATGTCTAAATGTTCCTCTGCGGTTAGTCATCTTCCTCAGCTGTCAGGTATGAAGGTGCGTACAGGTATGAAGGTGACTCAGTCTGATCACCTTTTTCTTGATAAATAAAGGTTAAGAAATGACTGTGTAGGTTTGGTGAAATCTAAGGCTCTGAGTGTACCAGGCTGACTTTCGGGGTCAGCAGGGGGTCGGACCGCAGACTGATTAAAGACTCTCTAAAAAATGTCATACGATCTAGGAATAATCCTCTGACCCTACTCCTCCTACTGCCTCTGCAAGGGGATGGCACTGGGTCAGGGATAAAAAAAATCAGTACCTGGTGACGCTAGTTACTTGGAGGGAGGTGAGACGTTGTACAGTGGTGCAATTGTAACTCCCGGAAAAATGTATCCAAATTTTTATTGATTGTGGAAAAGAGTCCTTCTGGGCCAGTCACAGCCCAGAACTGGGGGCTTGCTAAGGCCCACAACGTCTACCATGGTTCTATTGCTGGTCATAATAACGCAATTTAATTCAATAGGCATTATCTTGAGCAAACATGTCACTATGAAAGTGAGTAAATCACTGGTTTTGAAACATTTAGAAAAGTCACTGGACTGAGTTGAAATTGTTCAGGTTGGTTTGAAACTGTAGTTTATAGGAACCACATGTTGATCTGCTGAGATTTAAAAATCAATAGGAAATTCTGTTAAGTTTCGGTGGTGACAAAAACTCCCAAATTCCCAAAGCCTTCCTGTTGAGGCAGTGGTATTTTTTTTTGTACTCCCTACTAATGTTTATTACTGCTAGCGGCCATATATTTTGACCAGTTTTAGATCATGTATAGAAGACAGAAATGTCCTCACAACCAGCAGATGAGGTGGACAGACATCATGGAGTAGATTACAGTCATCTGATCCCTGTAATCCCTTCTGGCTGTCGGCCTGAAAAGAGGGTTAAGTTGTTTCATTCTCTGACATCAACCTCGAGTCATCCTCATTACAATATGCACAGGCAGGGGTCACGTTAAACATATCCAAGATTATGACACTTTTGCACAGATTATATAGCTGATTATATCTGAACTTGACAACAGAAGCTCAGTGTTGAGCACTTTTTGGTCATGGTCATTAATACACACTGGATGTATAATTAATGATATTCTTAACTTTTCTCTTGAACCTTAATGCAGAATTTACAGAATAAGCATAAACACAACAAGAAAAAAACACACAGTGAAGAACTTAAAATAAAATACACATTTCAAGATAAAATATACATATTATTTACACATCATATCAGATTATATTATCTTGAGATCCCATAAAATAATTTGTGATCCCCTTTAAAAAGTTTATTTTATTACACAGATCCCAAAAAAAGGCCTAAAGAGAGAGCCACACCACATAAAATGAAAAGACTAGAAGCTGACTAGAAGTTATTCAGGCAACAACAATATATCAACCAATTTTTTTTTACATGAATTTTTGGGATGACTTAGTTTACTGAAGAATTGTGACAAGATATGTACTAAGTGGTTCAATTTACAGTTGAAAACTAGTCAACAAAGCAGTAAAACTGAATTGATTGTTCAGTATCTTTACTGGTTTTAACTGGAGTTGCTCTGATACCAATACCAGTATCGTAAATTCCTCCGGTACTGCCTATAAAATGGGATATCGGCATGTACATGTGTTTGTGCACTGATCCAGTAGTAGTATACGTTATTAAATTTCAGGTAGGAAAATCTGTATCGGGAAGGAAGAAATAGTATTGGAACATCTCTACTTTTAACCTAAAAGTAAACAACCACTTACTTGATATATAAAATATAAAAGAAAACATATGAAAGGTAAGATTATAGGTCACAGACTTTGCCCTTAGGTCTAGAGCTTTGATTCTCTGCTTGAATCCGATTGAACCCAACACTGTGAGCCAGGTTCGGACCCAAAACTGCTGCTGTAGGTCAGGCTTGGACAGAATTAGATTTAAAAATAAATATATATCTTTAATATTTTATTAACAATGCATGCAACTGCAATTAACGAGTGATTTTGTTATTAGTTTTTATAATAATTTACAATATATTATTATATGTAGTTTACTTTAACTCTTAATAAACTTTTAAAGTTATTTTTTTATTCTAAGTAGAAATTTGGTTTCCGGTCGGGATCGGGCCCAAAACTGCTTCCGTGGTTTGGGCTCAGTTCGGGCTTGCACATAATTTTTTGGGCCTTGGCTCAGGTCAGGTCTGATTTTTTGGGCCCAATCAAAGCTCTACTGGACTCAGTAGGTCATAGCTACTAACAAAAATTCCCTCAAATAAACATACCTTCTAGTACTAAACAAAAATACAGAAAAATTCAGATCTATAACTTTAAATTGTTTAAATATATAGGTGAATATACATTTTATATCATCAAATTCCACACAAGTGAAACCTGTACACCATAATTAACCTCTCTCTCTCAGGTCAGTCCTAGTCTGTAAATATCATCAGTTCCTGTCTGTTGCTCAGTGTTTCTACTAACAGTATTAAACACAGTGACACAGAGAAAAGGTTAGACAGGTACAGAGACACCCTGTAGTCACTGTGACCCTGCATCACCTCTGTTGACCG